CTCTGTAAGTCTGATTTTCCCCCTCATTATTGTTGTTTTCCTTTTCGATCGATCAACATTGCGACCCCTGTAAGTCCGATTTTCCCCCTCATTATTGTCGTTTTCCTTTTCGATCGATCAACAGTCTTGGATGAGGAAGAACTGATCTCTGATTTCGATTCTACCTCCTCTGATGTCGTCTGTTGGTGTTATTGCTGTTAAGGTACTTTGTGAGGACTCCATTTTGCCTTCGTTATCTGTGCATAACCAAGATCTAATTTTGCCTTCGAATTCAAAGCTACAAGGGGTTTGTTGTTAAGAACTAGAAGTTGGTTTGTGGAGTTAAGGTATTATCCATGAGTAGTACCCAGTTAAAAATCTTGGATTTATCTAAATCAATTTGATTGAGGCCTTCATCATTTTTGGTTTATGAACATAATTAATGTTTTGGGGGCTGCAATCATGTTCTTTGCTTAGAGAAGATGAACTGGGAAATGGCTTCGAGAGAGAGAGAGAGAGAGAGAGAGAGAGAGAGGTGGGTCATTTATTATTTTTTTAATTGTTAAAAATAAATAAATAAATATTAAATTTTAAAATAATGAAAAATAAATGAAAAATAAATACCCCAAGGGTATTATAGTCATTTCAATTTTCAAAGGGGCCATTTTCACATACATACTAGTCCAAAAGGACCACTAATCCAAAAAAGTCGGGGTTTGGACTAAAACCCCCAAAAAAATGCATACCACAGGGACCATTTTTGCAGTTTTGTCTAAAAAATAATGAATGGAAAAATATACTATGAAGCACAGAAACTTCAATTTGGTCGCCGTTCCCGTATCCGATACGCCGTGGAAACGGAAACGCCATGGAAACGTTTCCATAACGTATCTGGTAAACACGAAACGTTTCTTTGCAGTTTCCGCCAAGTTTCCATTTTTTTAGGTTTTGCATGGGCTTTTTCAGTCACACAAAGTCTAATGGGCTATATTAATCGACTCTTAACTTATTACCCTACAAGCCTAAGCTGATCGACTCTCAACTCTGTCTACTGCCTCGCCAAATACGATCACAGTGAATCACTAAACAAGCGAATAGACGATCACAGTGATTATGAAACAGAAGAAGAATATCACCAAACCATTCACCAATTAAGAAATCAGAGACCAATTTTGATGGCTTCTCAAGAACAAGAAACACAATCACAAGGATCATCATCAACAATAGACCAACCTCCACTGTGGGACTATGTGACAAAGTTGGAAAAACTTGTTGGAGCAGAAGGATGTTGGAAATTCAAGTGTAACCTTTGCAGTGAAACCCGACAAGGATCATATTCTAGAGTTAGAACACGTTTGTTTGGTATAAAAGGTAATCTACTACTCAATTTAGTGTGTGTGTGTCTGTGTGATTTTTTCTTTTGTGTGTAACTATGTTTGGTTGTTGGTGTGGGATCTTTCTTATATGGTTGTTGTAAGGTTGTTTATGAAGCCCGATTTCATCTTTTTGTTTACGAATATTATGTTTACAGGGTACTTTTACTATTTTACATTATCTTGGAATTTTTGTTTTGGTAGATATTGTGATTGGTATTGGTAAAAAATAAGGTTTGGTTTTGAGTATTTTACATACCATTTGTCCACTAAACCTAGAATTTTTTCTATTAGTTTTATTTATTCAATAAGTCATAACTTTTAAACTTTTAATAATTACTCATTATGTTCTTACAATTAATTCAATTTGATAGAATAAAACTATTTCAAGATTTTTTTTAATGGAATGTTCTCTGCAGAAAATGAATATTTATAACTTTTGGATTTTCAATTGTTGATTTTGTAATGTTTTTATGTTTGTTTGAGTTTAATGGTATAGAAAGGATAAATCTATCTTTTCAATAAATTAGGAAGATTAAGACTTTTAAGTCTTTTTGGACAATGGCAATGATCATTGATCAATTGATTTGATTCATGTTGTTGTTTAGGAATAATAAATGTAACAAAAAATAGATAAAGTGCAAAATGCAAATAATGATTTTGCTAATGATTTTGGATCTTATTATGTGCCTTCTTGAAATCATGTCAATCACAGTGTTTTAATTAAATATAGGTACTGGGATTTCTATTTGCAAGAAAGCAACAACGACTGACAAAGTTAACATGAAACGGTTAGAAGATGCATATAAACAGAAGAAAGTCGAGTCACAAGAGAAAGAAGTCGAGTTGCCATGTGAAGCCGATATTGGATTTAAGAAAAGAAAAGGTATTTCAACACCTATTGAAAGAGCTTTTGGTGTTGAAATTAGGGACCAACTGGATCAAGAAATAGCAAGAACGTTTTATACCAGAGGTTTACCTTTTAAATCTTGCAAGAAATTCATACTATCTCAGGGCTTTTCATTTTGCTGCTAACAACAAAATTGATGGTTATGTACCTCCTGGTTATAATAAAGCTAAGAACAACATTACTACAAAAAGAAAAAGATAATGTTCATAGGCTATTGGAGCCACTTCGGTCTACATGGAAAGAAAAAGGTGTGACTATTGTGAGTGATGGCTGGAGTGATCCTATAAGAAACCTCTAATCAATTTCATGGCTACCTCAGGTAATGGTCCTTTGTTTCTAAAGGCATTGAATTGTTTTGAGGAAGTAAAAGATAGATTTTATATTGCTGAATTGATGAAAGAATTCATCAATGAAATTGGTCATCAAATTGTTGTGCAAATCATTACTGACAATGCAGCGAATTGTAAGGTGGCTGGAGAGATTATAGAGAGTTAGTTTCCTCACATCTATTGGACACCATGTGTTGTTCATACGCTTAATCTTGCTTTGAAGAACATTTGTTCACCAAGGAATGTGGAAACAAATTAACTAACATATGAACAATGCAGCTGGATAAAAGAAGTTCACAAAGAGGCGCTTGCAATAAAAAATTCCATCATGAACCATAACATGAGACTCTCGATTTTCACCAAGTTTACTCCTCTTACGCTGCTTTTGGTTGCCGACACTCGCTTTGCCTCCATTTTTGTGATACTTAAGAGATTGAAACTTATCAAAAGGGGTCTTCAAGTTATGGTCATAAGCGAAGAATGGTCTTCTTATAGATTAGATCACACTGAGAAAGCAACACTGTGAAAAAATATATTTTGAATGATGATTGGTGGGACAAAGTAGCATATATTCTTAGTTTCAATGGACCTATAGATTATTAGAGCTTGTGACACCGATAAGCCATGTTTACACTTGGTGTATGAGATGTGGGATTATATAATTGAGAAAGTGAAGATTGAGATCTACAAGAAAGAAAAACGTCCGACATCTTAAATAATCTGCTTTTATGATGTTGTGCATCATATTTTAGTGGCTCGATGGGCGAAGAATAACACTCCCCTACATTGTTTAGCTAACTCTTTACATCCAAGGTATAAGATTTTAAATTATACACTTGATTTCTATTATATATTTATGTTTTAACTTTTAAATGTTGTAGATATTATAGTGATGCATGGTTATTGGAGGATTCTACAAGATGTGCTCCACATAGGGATGGAGAAATTTCACAAGAAAGGATGAAATGTTTTCGAAGGTTGTTTCCTAATGATGATGAGTATAACAAAGTTCTTGATGAGTATGTAATGTTGTCAATTAAGAGTGGTCCTTTTGAAGATTTAACAAGCATTTCAAAGATTCCTACTATGGAACCCAAGAATTGGTGGGTTAACTTTGGTGCTCAAACTCCTTTTCTCCAAACTTTGGCTTTTGGATTACTTGGACAACCTAGTTCTTCTTCTTGTGCTGAGCGTAATTGGAGTACTTATGCATTTATTCACTCGCTTAAGATGAACAAGTTGACTACAAGTCGTGCTTAAGACTTGGTTTACATCCATAATAATCTACGACTTTTTTCAAGGACTCTGAATGATGATGTAAAGATGTGGGATGTGGATGAAGATGCTTTTGATTCAATTGAAGATGTCGGGTTTTTGGAGGTTGCCGATCTCTCACTAGATGAACCGGATTTTGAAAATGATTTGATTATTGATAATGGACTAATATTATAAAAGCCCTAAATTTTTAACGCGTAATTGGAAAAAGCCCTAATATTTTTTTTATTGCTATGGCCACAACTTTCTCGCAAAATTATCACTCTAGCCCACTTAACGAGTTTCATGGTTAAGTTGGTTAACTTTTTTGCAAAATCATTCCTAAAAAGTTCAAATTTAGTCCCTGAGGTTTGCAAAAAATTACACCACATGGGTTTTTAACTTTATTTTTCGTTTTTTGTATACTTTATTTATTTTCGGGTTTTTTATAAATATATGTACATTTTTTATTTTCTTTTTTATATATATACTTTATTTATTTTCATTTTTTAAATTTATTTTTCAACAATTTTTTTAAACCTTTTTACCTTTTGTTTTCTATTTTTAGTGTATATATAGAGTATATTAGAGTTTTTTTTTTAGGTTTTTTCATATTTCTTTTCGTATTATAGTTTAATTTTTTTCATCTTTTTATTTTTTTAATTTTTTTCTTATTTCTTTTCCAATTATTATTATTATTTTTTTTGTATTTTTATCTTTTTATTGACCTTTTTCATAAAATATAAAATGTATTAATATATTAGAGTATATTACAATTTTGATAATTTATAGTTTTTGTAATTTTTTTTATTTTTGTTCAAGTAAATAAAATAGTTATGTTTATATTTGTAATTTCAGTCCAACTTATTTTCTTTTTATTCTTTTTTTCTTTAGTGCTATTATATTTATGTTACGAAAAAATGAAAATTAAAAAAAAGTTAACTTGTTTACTGAGAATTAGTGTTTCAATGTGTTATATAACTTGCAAATTAAATCATATTTCTGTATGTGATATCAATAGAATAAATTCAAGATAATATTTTTCAATTTGATAATAGACTAAAAAAAACAAAAAAATAAAAATAATAGTCGGTTTCTATAAAAAAGAATTGTTATAGTAATTTATATTGATTTCAAGTTCGTTTACTTGAATCAAAGTAAATAAAAACGTTAGAAAAACCATAAATAACTAAAATAGGAAAAAAAACAAAAGGTAAAAAGACAAAAAAAATTGTTGAAAAAAAAGTTAATAATGAAAATAAATAAAGTATATAAAAAAAGAAAATAAAAAATGTATATATATTTATAAAAAAACCGAAAATAAATAAAGTATACAAAAAACGAAAAATAAAGTTAAAAAACCATGTGGTGTAATTTTTTGCAAACCCCATGGACCAAATTTGAACTTTTTAGGACTGATTTTGTAAAAAAGTTAACCAAGTTAACCATAAAACTCGTTAAGTGGGCTAGAGTGATAATTCTGCGAGAAAGTTGTGGCCATAGCAATAATAAAAAAAATATTAGGGCTTTTTCCAATTACGCGTTAAAAATTTAGGGCTTTTATAATATTAGTCCATTGATAATTAATTACTTTTGAAATATTTAGTATTTTTGGAGTTTACACTCATTTTGGAATTTCTTTAATATATATATATATATATATATATATATATATATATATATATATATATATATATACTATCTTATAAAAGAAATCTCACTATTTCTATAAATAAATTCAATATAATAATAATATTTTTTAAGACGTTCAAATCATTAAGCTAATGGTACAAGTAGTCATCAATAAAATAATAATATTTTTTAAGTCGTGCAAAACATAAAGAATGAAGTACAATTAACCAATGCATATAAACTTCTTATCTCTAGCAGGTTTGACCCGGTTCTTTAGTCATGATGATGAGTTGTGAAGAAGCCTAAGATCCCGGAAAAAATCTTTCAATTCTTGGCCCCCTTCCTCTATATCCGTTCTTCTTCTCCTTCGCAGAAATCATCCCGTTTCTCTTTCTATTAAACGAGTTTTCTTCCTCTTTCAGTAAAAAGAACCCTAAGACCACTCACTACTCATGACCACCATTTAAACCTGCAACCACCAAACCAACAACGTACAAACGGACCCCTCAGTTACGTTGTGCGCACCACCACCGTTTCTCTTTCTCCCACCAGCAAACAAACCCTAATGGAAATCTTCAGCATAATTGATACCGCTTCCCCCCACCTTCGTCTTCTCCATCAACGTCCTCCATGACCCACTCAAGCATTTGTGACGTCGTCTCTGTCAGAACTCCCGAAGCCATTACCTCCGTCGACCGCCACTAGAACTGCTGTCACAGATAAACACACTTTTCATCGGTCATTTATTTAATTTATATATACTTTTTACATTTAAATTTTGATTATCTCTCTACACCTCAACCAGATCTTACTGAGTTAATTTTTAAAATTTTGAATTTTTGTTACAGTAGTAGCAGATGAATAACTTTGAAGAGGAATGAGTTCTTGGAAGATACGATGTTGGTAAGAATCATCTTCTCGAACTGTCTCTCTCTATCTCTACAAACATATCTGATGATGTCGAATCGTTAAGCTAAATTTATTCTCCTCCTCCCTGCAACCAAAATGTGTCTCCTTGCCTCTCTCCATTCAAGATTAAGAGAAACCCTAAATCTCCCCTGAAAATTGACGCCACTCTTTCATCGTCCTCGAGTAACCCATCTCGAGATGAATGCGAAAGACATCCTAGCACCGCCATCCTCCAGATCTTTCACCCCAGATGCTATGTCGCTCGATCTATGTTATTTTTTTGTTTTTACTTTTTAGATCTTTTATCTACAGTTAATTATTCAATGTTGAGTTTTTGTTGCAGTAACAGATGATGAACATGAATAAAGGTTTTTGTGCTATGATTCTCAGTCTCTGGTTCCATCTAATGACTTTATTCTTTATTTTGTAATTTGTTCCATCATCGTTGATTTGCCTTCTGCTGATCAGAAATGGCCTCCTGTTTAATGTGTGCAGGTTTGTTCGATTTGATTCCATGTTGGTTTTTCTGGTTAATATTACCATAAGGTTTATGGATAATAATGTGTGCATTTATGCCACCGATTCAAATGTATGCCCAGTTTGTTGTGTTTCTTGCTATTTTTGCATTTTGATTTATCATTTGATGCTAATTTTCTTTGTATTGATTGTTATGTTTGTAATTTTTGTAGCCAATACTACAAGTAGGCTCTCTTCATTCAGGTAAATAATTAATATTACTACTTTTATTGTTATTTTAGGTTCACATTTTTCTTATCAATTATGTTTAGTTTGTGGTTATGGCATATTTTTTGCATCTTCTTATCTTGAAACGAACTCAATGATCTATGATATTGATAGCAAATGTGATTTTTATATTCCTATTTTCTAGGTTAATGTAACAATGAAAGGGATTAATTTTTTTGTAACCTTTTTAATGACCAACATTATGTCTTTTTAATATTACAAAGAGGATTAAGGAAGGAACACAAATTGAAGAAAAATGGTTACCTCTCTTTCTTGATGCACCTTGACTTCCATTTGGAAAAGGTAACCTAAAAATCTCAAGTATTTAACCTTGTGTCTCTGGGTCTTTATGCCCCAACATATTGTATTGTGTGGAACCAGTTTTTGGGATAACATTATGCATATAAACTGTTTGATGAATGTCTTAGTTTATATTACGAGGAATCAGTCATTTTTATTTTTTATCTTTGTTTTGGTGGAATAAAGCCCCAATGAAGGTGTAAATAAATGACTTTAATGAAAAGCTCTGGGTGGTCATAGATGTTTAGGGTGGACCACACCACTAAATAAGATGAAGTAGCTTTATTCCAAGGAGGATTCATTTGATCTTCATTATGTTGGTGTTGAACAATATGTTGGTATTGTTATGATTCAAAGTTTATTCTATCTCTTTTTTCTAATCTAAAAATTAATCTATTTCTTGATGTGTTGGGAATGATTTCCTTGCAGATGGACTTATTAGGTTTTCTATTTTTTTAGAAGTGATAAACATTGGTTTGATGGATTTTACGTATTTGAGATCTGTTTCTGCAGGTTATACGAAGAACTTAATTAAAGTGTGGGTAACAGAAAGAGCAGGACGACCTTAATCATATGTTGAAGGTAGTTTCTTTTCATTAATAATGTGTTGTTAATTTATAATGTTTGTTTATCTATTATTGTCAAAACTTATCCCCATAATTGTTTCTATTAAATAATAGGACTAATATTATAAAAGCCCTAAATTTTTAACGCGTAATTGGAAAAAGCCCTAATATTTTTTTTATTATTGCTATGGCCACAACTTTCTCGCAGAATTATCACTCTAGCCCACTTAACGAGTTTTATAGTTAACTTGGTTAACTTTTTTACAAAATCAGTCCTAAAAAGTTCAAATTTGGTCCATGGGGTTTGCAAAAAATTACACCACATGGTTTTTTAACTTTATTTTTCGTTTTTTGTATACTTTATTTAGTTTCGGTTTTTTTTATAAATATATATACATTTTTTATTTTCTTTTTTTATATACTTTATTTATTTTCATTATTAACTTTTTTTTCAACAATTTTTTTTATCTTTTTACCTTTTGTTTTTTTTTCCTATTTTAGTTATTTATGGTTTTTCTAACGTTTTTATTTACTTTGATTCAAGTAAACGAACTTGAAATCAATATAAATTACTATAACAATTCTTTTTTATAGAAACCGACTATTATTTTTATTTTTTTGTTTTTTTTAGTCTATTATCAAATTGAAAAATATTATCTTGAATTTATTCTATTGATATCACATATAGAAATATGATTTAATTTGCAAGTTATATAACACATTGAAACACTAATTCTCAGTAAACAAGCTAACTTTTTTTTAATTTTCATTTTTTTCGTAACATAAATATAATAGCACTAAAGAAAAAAAGAATAAAAAGAAAATAAGTTTGACTGAAATTACAAATATAAACAT